AGTGCAGTGTGGGTTAACACTGGCACACTGTCTGGATCCTGTCCTTGATAGTGCAGTGTGGGTTAACACTGGCTCACTGTCTGGATCCTGTCCTTGACAGTGCAGTGTGGGTTAACACTGGCTCACTGTCTGGATCCTGTCCTTGACAGTGCAGTGTGGGTTAACACTGGCTTTTCTCTCTCCACAGAACATTGATATCACCAATTTCAGCAGCAGCTGGAGTGACGGACTGGCCCTCTGTGCTCTGCTCCATACCTACCTGCCTGCCCACATCCCATACCAGGAGCTGAACAGTCAGGAGAAAGTAAGTCACTGCCTATGCCACCCACTTCTCCTCCGGGAGAGCCAGCAGAACTTCTGAGGCAGTGTATAACTGGGAGGGTAGGTGTGGTGGCTTGGAAGAAAATGGCCCCCAAACATTAGGAGGTGTGGATTTGTTGGAGTAGATACGGCCTTGCTGGAGGAAGTGTGTCACTGCGGGGATGGGCTTTGAGATCGTCTGTGCTCAAGCTGTGCTCAGTATAGTACAGTTCACTTCCTCTTGCCTGTGGGTAAGATGTAGAACTCTCAGCTCCTTCTCCAACATCATGTCTGCCTTCATGCCACCATGTCCCACCATGACGATAACGGACTAAACCGCTGAAACTGTAAGCAAGCCTCAATTAAATGTTTTCCTTTAGCTGGGTATGATGGCACATGCCCTTAATCCCATCACTTGGGAGGCAGAGGCAGGTGAATCTCTGTGAGTTCAAGGCCAACCTGGTCTACAAAGAGAGTTCCAGGACAGCCAGAGCTACACAGGGAAACACTGTCTCAAAAAATACAAAAAGGTTTCCTTTATAAGACTTACTGTGATCATAGTGTCTTCACAGCCATAGGACATTGACTGAGACAGTGAGGGAGGCTTAATAGAGCTAAAGTGGACACCAGGAAGGGCACAGGGGACAGAATGTGACTGCAGTGTGGGGTCCTATCCTCAGCAAATGTGTCAGCCACCCTTCTCAATGCAATTGTTACCAAGAAAAACAGTGAATCCCAGTTTGCTGTGGTTGCTGATAAGATCCTATCGCCTGCTTTCTACAGAAAACCCTGGTTTAGCTGTGACCTTCATTTTTCAAAGTCTCTTTCAGTGCCGAGAGGGGAGTTAGGAGGGGTAGCAGAATTCCCTTCTCTTAAAGGAGGTCCGTCTTTTTTCTATTAAGCTGACTGGACTAGACTCACCCACATTCCAGAGAATCATTTGCTTTATGGGAAGTCCACCAATGTAAATGTTAATCTCACCTAACTATGTAGACCAGGCTGGCCTCAAACTCACAGAGACCTGCCTGTCTCTGCTTCCCAAGTGCTGGGTCAAAGGCATGGGACGCCATGTCTCACCTAATCTCATCCTTTAAATGCCTGCCTAGAGGGCTGGCAAGATGGTTCAGTGGGTAAAGACACTTGCTCCCAAGCCTGACAACCTGGGTTTAGTAACGGGGACCGGGGTGGTGGAAGGAAAGAAGCAACTCCCACAAGTGTCCTCTAGTCTCCACACGTGAGTCCTCGTGCGCGCGCACGCTTGCACACACACACACACACTCACACACACACACACACACACACACACACACACGATAAATACATGCGAGAAACATTTTAAATAGAGAAAGAAAGAATGTTTGGCTAAATATTTGGATACCAGACATAGCCAAGTTAGCACACACACAAAAATAATAATAACCATCCCAGAGTATCTTACAGGACCGGCGGTGTGGCTAATGGCAGAGCATTAATCCAGCAGTGTAAAAGCCCGGGTTTAATCTCTGGCATTGAAACGTGATTTTTTTTTTTTTCAAAGCATTTCCATGTGGAGTGCTTTATAAAGTGTGAAACAAGCTGAGTAAAGTCATGTAATGTTTAAGAGAAAAAATACACAGTGCATCATGTTAAGGCTGAGAGGTCTAAAATGATTCCAGTGTTATGTTAGGCAGGCAAACAGCAAAGCTGGAGTTCAGATGGGACATCAGAGCAAGAGGAATGGTGTGGGAGGAATCCAGGAAGATTTGTGTTCTGAATTTTCCCGGTAATGTTGGAAGGGCAGATATAGATGGCGTATGAAGCCGTGAAATTGAGGGTTCGCCAGTCCCCCTGGTCTTAATTGGGACTTAAGCAACTCTCATAACTATAGCAAAATACCTGAGACTGTGTATGTTGTTGAGAAAAGAGATTCATTTAGAGCTTTGAAAGCTGAAAATCCAAAATCGAGGCAGTCTCCTGAGGGTCTCATAGTGGGTCGCATTCCAGCAGTGAGACCATGTGTGGAAGGGGAATGCAGGGTGAGGCAGGAAGCCAGAGAGATCCAGATGCCAGCTTTGCTCTTCTCACAGGAAGTAATCAGCATCCCAGGAGAACTGCACTGATCTCTTCAGAGTAAGATTTCCAGACACCTGCTTTGCTTCTGCATCCCAAAGGTTCCATCACTTAACACGTACACTGTTGGCCGAGCTTTCAGCACCTGAACCTTCTGGGACACACTCAGGCCCTGCCCACAGCACAGTAGAAGCACAGAGCGGGCCCAGCAGAGGGACCTAGAGGGGAGCAGAGTCGGGACCATCAGCCATCACAGAGGCCAGGGGCACAGCAGGGCATCTGATTGTGACCCAGGAGTCATTCCTTCCCCACTCTCTTGATTTTCCACTCCCTTCCTTTCTGGTGTGATGTTACAAAAATAATTATGTAAATAATGAGCATAACAAATTTCAAAGTAATCAGCAGATCTTCCTAAAATGGCCATACACATTCTAAAACCTGAGTCTTCCTGAAAGTGATGTGTTTATTTGTAGTCAACAGGCCTGGCTGCTCTGTCCTCCAGTCAAGTCAGATCTGTTGGAAAATAGTGGGCCTGCGAATGCTTGCTCTCACACTTTGTATCATGAGCATTGCTTCCTGGTGACCAAAACCCCTTGCCTCACTCTGGACCCCTGAGACTCCCACACCAGGCACCCTGCCAGCTGCCTAGTGGCCCTCTGCAGATGTGCAAATGTGCATCAGGGTAGGCTGGCAGCAGTATTCTTGTTTCTGTTATCCTTATAGGACAGGGGTCCCTATTTCCCACACATCTGGTTGATTTCTTTTGGGGGGTCTTTGCTGATGTCATCAAGAAGTGCCAGTAGTGAAGGACCACTATAAGGAGTCAGCATCACGTACCAGGAGTGTCATGTCCCAATCTGTCTGACTTCACAGCTCCCCTGTCAACTCCAGTTGAGTTTGAGTTCTAGCACCTGGGACTCTCAGTTACCCCTGGCCCACTACTCCCTGAAGGAGTATCTGGCCCCGTCCTGGCCGCACCCTAAGTAGAGAAGCAATGGCTACAGCTCAGGATGTCATGAGTAGGGGTGGGGGTGCACTGAGAGAGGCCAGATCCATCCATTACAGAGGAGGGTTGTCAAGATGATGTGCCAATAGAAGCCCATTGATGCAGCATCAGTTGAGCTTGCATGGAGCTTTTAATGAGGTTAACTTCCCTGAGGTGACAGTACCACTGGGCAGGTTTTCCCTGAAGGGACATGTTTGAGGTTGGGCCTCAAAGGGAGCATAACTACTACAGACCCTTTTGGATGAGTTAACATGGTTAAGACTCTGCCCTGTGGTCTTATGTACTCAGTATGAATGGGTTGTTGTTGGTTGGTTGTACTTTGTGGAATACCCAAAAGGGCACTAAGGGAAATAGAACATTTGTAAAAATCTGTTAAAATTGAAATATAAAAATTATATGATAAAGGATCTGGGCTCAGTGGTAGAGCCTGTGATTAGCATAGATGAGTGCCTGGATTTTATCCCCAGCACCAAAGAAAACTAGTTCAGAATTAAAAATAAGAACTGGACACAGTGGTGCATGCCTATGAACTCAGCACTTGGGAGGCAGGAACAAGAAGATCAGGAGTTCAGTGCTGTCCTTAGCTACACAGTAAGGTCAAGGCTAGCCTGGGCTACACGAGACTGTCTCAAATAAACAAGAATATCTTGTATGGTATTGAAGGGATATGTAATCACAGGGTGTACATTACAGTAGCTAGGAGGTTTAGGTGAGGTATTTTGTTTTCATTAGAAATACAGTCTTCAGATGTCAGCCTATGAAGCTCTTCCATGGAGGCAAAAGTCAGGTTATAGAGTAGAGATTGATTATGTTGGTACCTGAAACTGAATATGAATGTGAGTCAGAGCTTTTCTCCCACTTACTTGCAGAAAGATGCTACACCAGTACGGTCCTATGAGCCAAGCTGGGACCAAGTTCTGCATCAGATAGGAACTAGTAGGTCCAGGCTCACACCACCCTACACACAGGGCAGAAACTGAAGAATGGCCTCTCACTCTGTCCGCACCTGTATGACAGAGCCTCCACTGAGGCAGAGCTCACAGCCTGAAGACCTTGGTTCTCCTGCCCAGCCTCTTCATTGGGCATGCCCTCTTCTGTTCTCTAGCCTCAGCACAGCAACCACAACAGTGCAGAGTGGAAAGGCATTAGGATGATGACCCCCTGGACACTAGTGTCCTGCCTCCATCAAAATGAGCAAAAAATCATTTTTATAAACAAAAAAATCACCTCTATCATGTTCCATGTTATGCTGTCTCAGAGCTCTTTGAGGCAGTTTTCCAGTACAGTCCGTTTATTTTGTGTTTAATTTCTTAGAAAATATACTTTCATTTGAATCCTACAAGAGGGTCTTAGCAGAATTCTAATTAAAATATTTGGTTTAGAAATGCCTTCTCCTTAGACTTTATTAGTAACCCAATAATACAAACTAAAACAAAAAAATACAGTGTTTAGCTTGACACATTTGGCAGGTAAGGATACAGAAGGGAAAAAAAGAGCATGATTATTGGAGCTGAAAATGGTGTGCCTTTTTAGGAACCAGTTTGGCATTGCAATCTCATGAGCCATAAAAACTGTTTGTGTCTCAGCTTCCTGAGCAATGTAACCTAAAAACTGGCCTAACGAAAGGGATTCTAAAATAAGAACAAAGGTCCCATCAGCACCAAAATGGGGGTTGCTCCACTCGCGTGGACTGGAAGGACCCACTTGCTCACTTCTGCTCAGCAAACAGAGCAGCATCACAGCAGCAAGGGTAAGGCTTCCACTTCTTGTCCATCAGTCTCCCTAAGTGTCAAAGAAGAAGGATGGCGGACTGGGCACTATCACCAGAGATCAGCCCCTTCCCAAGGTGACACCGCAGGCTGGAAGAAAGCATGCAGAGACGTGTCTGCTTTTCCTCTGACAGCGTTGATACATCAGCAAGATGACTCCAGTGTCAAGCCGAACCGTTT